CTAATGAGCCACTCTGTCAGCTCAAAGGTCCCCCTCCTCTGAAAAGCCTTCCCTGTCCGCCCTATGTAGCTCTCTCCTTTACACTCTCCGATTTCTCATCTTTTTACCCAAAGCAGCAGACGTTTGTTTCCCTACTGTCCCCGATCGCCAGCCACCCCGGTGAGGGACAGGACTGTGCCTAACTTGTTTACAGCTCCATTCACAGAGCCTGTAGGCCAGTCCCCAGGATTTGCGGCCCGAACGAACGAGGGACCCTAGGCGAGGGTGCCTTCTGGCGGGCTCATCACCTGGCGACCGTCCCCGTCACTCGCAGAGCGGGACCACGCCCCGCCGCGCAGGCCAGAGGAGGAAAGGGGGTTTGGCTACTTTGGAGACAGGACTGGGAACTGCGGGGCGAAAGGCCGGGGGCCGCACGCGCCCAGGACAGAGCAGGCGTGGCGAGCACCGACGCAGCCCGCGATCCCGGCAACCGGTGCGGCGGCTCGTCCCATCCCCCACCCGCCACCGCCGCTCGCGCTTCGCAACAAAGGCCGGCTGCAGAGCGGCGGGGCCCCACGCCGCCTGAACGGGTGGCGAGGACGTTTTTCTCCTACCGACCTCCGTTGCCTGGTACCCGAGAGCACAGCCCTCTTAAGACGGTCCGTGACTCCCGCCTTTCTCCGCGGCAAACGACAACCGAACCACAGCCAGCATGGACTGGGCAGCGAAATGGCTCCGCGGCGGCGGCAGAGGGGCGGGGTCGGTGAGCGTACGCAGGCGCAGGGAGCGAGCTTGGGGCCGAGGGCGCCCGGAGGGAGGGGCGGGGCCGCTTGCCGTGGTCTAGGAGATCCGTGGCGCCCCACGGGCCCAAGCTCGCCAGTACTGGAAGAGTTGGGGTCCTGTACCATCTTGATGCAGCAAAATGTTTTGCAATTTTTGTTCTCTAGTGGATGAGGTGCCCTTCGAAGACAGCACTGGAAGTCTTAGGTGCTAACTCTATAGGGTTGTTATGATCAAATAAAATAGCATATGAAACGCACTTAGCTCAGTATTTGGCAGGTAGTAGGTATTCAGTAAGAGTCATTATTGTAGAGATTCAGATACTGGAAAAAGAAATAAGCTCAGTGAAGGCAATAGCCCTGCCTGGCTAGCTCAGGCCACTCGCCGCAGTGCTTGACACATTGTTAGGAGCTCAGCAAAAACTAGTTTAGTGAACGGTTATATCCTGCAAGGTTGTTTAGGCTTATTGGAGATCCTTTTGTCTTCAACAATACAAAATATACCAGGCTGGGGTTGTTCCAGAGAATCCAGACTAATCAATTTACTTGGGCCTATCATACCTATACATCGTTATTTTTGACCTCTTTGATTGTTTTTTCTTAACTCTTCTAGCTCATAGTGATCATTCCCTTTAAAACTCTGTTGCGTTTACAATCGGGATAATAGTTCAACATGTATATATCTTTTTATTTTCTCCATATATTTGCTCTCTTCAATTAAGAGTAACATCATTCAGGGAAAGACATTAATTTTTGTTTCTTTGTAGCTTTTAGGGTGCTTACAGCTGCAAGTGCCTGATATTTATGATAGGGGAAACCCAACTAGCATAAATGGATTGCAAGTATTTTGAATTAGATAATGCACACAGCAACATATTAAGAATAAACAAAGATTTCAGAGGCAGAGCTTGAGCTTCCAAGGATTATGGAAAATTTTATTACTGAGTTGGTTCTTAATCTGGCTTTTGCACCTGAGACCTAAAATCTCCAGGGGATTGGGTGTCAGTGACTGGCATTACCGTAGTACTCTTTAAAATCTTCCTTAACACTTGCAGATGAAACATGCTTCAAAACATGCTCCCTTTTTTTACCTGTGCCTCTTGGACTGCTGTTCCTTTAAAATCACTTAGCAAAAGGCTCTCTCATTGTGTTTGTTATTCACTATTTCAAGTAGTCACACATAGGTCACTCAAGAGCACGTGAATATTTTTCATTCCTTCTCCTCTACTACTAGAGAGGAGGACAAAAATTTCCAACCGGAGGAAAAAATATGAAGATGGCACCATAGTCTGGGCTCTGGTAATAACAAATGCAAATTTTCATTTCAGTCATTGCCTTAGGTTTACTATCATTTTCAACTTCATTTTTCCAGCTATTAGTTTAAAGGTTTAGCAGTGATATAAAGTTTCTCTCTGTTGGATAAAGAACATATATAGAATTGTTTGGATAACTACAAAAACTAATAATAATAGCCAACACTTCACTATGTTTTTGATGCGCCAGGTGCTGTTTTAAGATGCTGTTTTTATATGTATTACATCATGTAATCCTCAGAATAACCCCAGAAGGTAGGTATTTTAATTTTTATGTTATAGATGAGATAACTGAAGGACTAAGATGTGAAATAACATGTAGGTCACACAGCGAGTAAGTAAGTGATGGAGCTGAGACTTGAGCCCACATGGTCTCGATCTAAGGTCATACCAATAACCACAGGGGCAGCCTTGCCTCCCATACAACCATGTTACGCTGTTTGCCATTGTACGCTAGACTGAACCCAACTCTCCACGACGTCAGTAAGTCCTTGGTCATAACACTGGCATGCTAAGAGGGGTTGTTAAAAGTGGACATATGAATTTAAGATTCTTGGTGTGAAATAGTCTGTTGTTACTCTGTTAAGATTTATATTCTGGCTCTGCCAGAATCATGTGTGGCCTTGACTAAGATGCTTAGTTCTCTTTGCCATAGTTATTTCATTTTGAAAATGGGAAGATGCTATATTGTATCCCTTCTAAAATACACTTTTGAAAAAAGGTTTGGAATCCTGGAGTGAGATGGCATGTTATACTTTGTCAGTATTTTTTACTTTCTCATAGGTATATATAAAATAATGTCTTACAATAAAGAGCACATGAGATTTGATGAAATATTACTTACATCATACATTATTAAAGAGTAAAAACCACAGCACCTGAGGATTACCTTGTCTCATTGCACCCACGTGGTTGAAAGGCTGAGGCCCCGTCAAGGGCAAGAATGGCAAGAGGTATACAGATAAGGGGGCCAGTGATCAGTATGTCCTAGAGCACAAAGTGATGTGCTACCCTTTAGGGACAAAATGTACCAACACAGAACACCCCAGTAGGACTGCACATTTCACCTATTAGGCATGATCTTGTTAACAAAATAATAAGACACAAAACACAAAGCCGATCAGAGGTAGAGTTTGGATTATTCCTTTAAGATTTAGTTTTAAAAGTGTGTTACTACAGTAACCCATGGCTCAAAAGCCAAGGAGCTTTTGATCCAACATTAAGTTCAAATTTAATGCTCCAGACCCAGAGGAAGATGCTGTTGAGTGGAACTGTGGGTGCCCACTAACTGAGCAAACGATACAGGCAGAGAACATAAGGACAGCCCTGAAAGGTGCTAGACACAGAAGTATAACACATTAAAACAAGAGAAAAGTTACATCTTTTTTAAAGTGGGATTAATAGTGGAACTGTTGAAGTGTATAATCTGGCCAGCAGAAATCATTGTTTAGATCTGGAGGATGAAGAATAAATCACATCTGATACCTTTCAAATTACTGATATTCATTGAAATGCCGATTTCTTCTAGAATTCTTTTTTTATGGCTTGCTGTGCACATGTTATTATTTTGCCAGCTATTAATTACAAGGTTAGGCAGTGATGTAATGTTTTTCTCAGTTGTATAAAGAACATGTACTAAACTGCTTGGATAGCTACAAAAACTAGTAAGTAACACTTCACTGTGCCTATGATATGCTGGGTACTATTCCATTCATTTTTTAAAAATAAGCAAGCATGACATTGAAGGTCATTCACAAGTATGATTTTTCTATATCCAATGTACCAGTTTCTTTTGAAACATTGACCTATAAGCCCTTTGGCTACCTGTACAGAAATTTACTCAAGTTCATTGGATTTTGCAATATGCTTTGTTCCACTTTTACAGTTATATTTGTCTTCTCTGCCTTTATTCTATAGAAATTAGTTTAATGTTAGCTTGGCTTCTTACTTATGTGGTCATTGAAACACCATATTCCCATTGGCTTTTACAGTTGCCGTATCAAGGTGTGGGGCTTTATTTCCCCATGCATTTGTGTATTTGAGCATTTTGTTTCCTGCTTTATATCAGTCTTCACTGATTCTAATACATTTCTATAAGGTTATGGAATTTTACTTTTTGCAGTGTTTCACAAGTCTAGAATTTGTAATTTCCTGTTAGATTTTAGTACAGAATGTACTGTGTTTACATGTACAAAATAAAAATGTTTCTCTCTGCAAACTACTTTAAAACTTTCAAAAAACGTAAATGAGATATACTCACCTACTAAGAGACAATGACTCTCAGATTGGAACACAGAGCAAAACATAAATTTGCTGTATTTAAAAGAGGTGTCTAAAGCAAAAAATTCCAAAAGCTTAGAAAAAAAATGGAGATGCCCTAAAAATTGCAGCGCTACCAAGAAAGTAAGAAAATGCCTTAAAAGTAAACAAAAGAGAAATGAAGAAACGAATCCAAAGAGGCAAGAGAACCCCGATTTAAGCATCTACCTTGAGAGAGTCTCTGCTGCTCACTGAGGAATTTGAGCTGCCACTTTCTGAAAGCTGCCTGGCCTGGGAGGAAGGAAGCAAAGCCTAGCAGACGCCCAAAGGGAAGAGGCTGAGGAGACCCCCACCTGAAGCCAGGACGCCTTACACGATCAGTGAAAAGGGAACAACAGCAACAATAAAACAAAAATGAATTCAAAACAAATGCAACTGTAATAAAACAAACTCAGAAGTCCAGCGTAGGAGGGAAACTAGTCACAAACTAGATGCTGGGTAGAAGGAGAAGAAAAGAGGACTTTAGTATTATGTTGAATAAAGTATTTCCCATGTCATTAGTTTAGTTTTGACATTAAAAACTAAATTCAAAGATAACAGTAAGTTTATAATATTAGAAAGTTTTACTTCTGATTAAAGGCATTATTAGGAACCTACTGCGACATAATACTCATTTCTATAGGGTTGGATGTTCAAACAGAGAGCTAAGCTCAGCTCTGCTCATTTTGTTTTAACCACGATATTGCTCTTTGTGTTCATAAGATCTCACCAGCATCTTAAACATTCTCCAAGCACTGATTTCAGAAAATTAATATATATTAATAGATAATATAAAATGGATAAATCTCCTATCACTGATAAAAAGTGACTCCTCGAAAGCGTGACTGGAAGTAACAGCAGCCCTGGGCACACTGCAGAAGGGGTGGTGGCCTTCACTGCCAAGAATTCGGGGTGATGTGGGGGTGAAACTTCCTTATCAGCGGGGGACGGTGAAGTCTGTGGTGCCAGGAGCAGAACTCTGGTTCTTTGAAACTCTGAGCTTTCAGAAGTTCTCATATAGCAACAGGTGGAGACTCGAATTCTTTGGGAAGGCCTTTCCTTTGTTATGTGAAAACGACCCTAATGGGCCCTTTAGGTATAGGAACGGAAGCAAGTCCTCACCTAACCCAGTGTTAGGGGAAAACCTGTCACATCACAGTCTGAAAGCAGGTACTCTACAGTTAGACTGAGCAGCCAAAGCAGCTTGGTGTGTCAATGCAATAGTTGTGTACAGTTAAGTCATGTTGTAATCTGGCATTAAAGTTAGCATGCCTGCCCGAATGCCATAGCTCAGAGTTTTTTTTCCCCAGGTTCCAAATGAATATTCATTAAAATGAAAGTACATGATAGTAGTTTGAAATGAGAACACTTCAAAACAGGATTAACAACCAGAAATCAACATAATGGGAGCAACCAAAGGCAAATGGAATGAATTACAATTTTCCTCTTGATTCCATTTCATCCACACAGGCAGGAATTTCTCCCCACAAAGTTTGTGCAGCGTTGAATGACTCAGGGCTCACGTCCCCTTTTACAGTTTTTGCTCCTTCAGGACATAAAACTTTTTAAAGATAATAGTAGGTACTTAAAATACTTGTTGATTGATGTGCGATCTCGTTGGGTGGGAAAGACTTTAGTTCAAGCAACTAAGAGAGATACAGTCTATACAGTCCTTGAGAAATGGATGCACTCTTCAAGGTGGATTACACTATGAGGTACACACCCTGACTTGACAGAGAGGCATTAGCTGTTGGCTTCCAAGTTGTCATTCTTTAAGTCAGTAAAAGAAAGGAAATCCAGACTCTTCAGTTTAGCTTCTGCATTATCTGTAAACTCCTTGGAGGCTCTCTGCAGTGGAAACCGGGGTGGGCCCATAGGAATCCCAGACACCAGCGTCATGATGGCTTTGGTCTGTGACACTCCAAAACCTACACAGAAAAAGTAAATGAGGAAAATGTGACTCGGACTGTCCACTTCACCACACACATCCTAAAGAAGAGCTCACTGTCTTACAGTGAGTACTGCGACAGCCTAAGGTGGGCTGAGACACAGGGACATTTCTAGTCAACATGGCAGACTGAGAAGACAGAGGGAATCCTTCCTTTGGCTTCAAATACATAGAAGTGCTGGGGAAAATGTTTTTAACAAATTGACAACGTGTAAAACAAAACAAAGTACGTCTCAAAGTCAACCTCAAAAGCAAGGAGGAGGGACCAAAGTTATCAGGAATAAAATAGGTCAGAGTAGTGAGGAGTTGAAGCCACAGGTCCATGAGAATAATCTGATTCAGGAGTATACTGTTGTTGATCAGACGATATAGGACTTCGTTGCCAGAACAGAATTTAGTTCAAGCATATCTAAGAAGTCCCTGAGAAATGCACTATTTGAGGCAGGTTATGAGTCAACGCTGCTGTCCTGGGGCTGGTTGTTAGAAGCTGGGCAGGAAAGCAAAGGCAGCCTGGGGTCTGTGCACAGCAAGGAGCTGGACTCAAGCTCTTTGTATAAAACCAGTAGCCAACCTTCCACGAAAAGCAAGAAGAAAAATCCAGCCCACTGGCTTAAGGATAGAGGCATAGCCCTTGTTTTGTGCCAGGGCTGTGGGTGAAAAAAGATCACATGAAGGAAATCCCAAGCCTGGGCCATATATGAATGATAGATCCATATTTGCATTGTGTACTTGGTGTAGGGACCAGATTAAGAAAATACCTAAATAGGAACCGAGGCATGGATACATGGAACAAACCAACAGGGACTGGATGAAAGAAGGCGAAGCGATTAGCCGAAGAGCGTATATGCATAATCCACAGAGACACACAACAGTGTGGTGATGGCCTGAGGGAAGAGGGGTGGTGGTGGGGGAGAGGTGGGCGCAAAGGGAAGGGAAATGGGACATCTGTGATAGCGCAAACAGCAGACATGAGGAGGAAGGGAGGGAGGGAGGGGAGGAAGGAGCGGGAGCAGATAATCTAGATGGGTTAGAACTGCTGAAACCGTGTGTCCCAGAAGAGGCAAACATAACACCACCTGATAGGACACCTCACAACCTAGAGCACAGTGGGCTCCCCAGAGAACAACAATCTCTGAAGATGATTTCAGAGTTAAAAATTACACGGCACATGAGGAGGAAGAAGCTGCATGGAAGCCCGCAAGTGCACAACTAGCAAATTTCACAGCCTGCGAACTGATGATACAAAATTCTGAAAGAATTTCACAGAGGTAAAAAAAAAGAAATAGAAGCCATAGGCTAAGAGAAGGGCATAAAAATAAAGAATAGGAAGACCCGAAAAAAAAAAACCAATGAGAAATACTGTGAAAAATAATTGGTGAAAGTAAACATAACTAAAGATAGAATCCATGATTTTGAAGGTAGAGCTCAGAAAATAATCCAGAAAAGAGAAAATATATTTGTTTTAATTTTAATTGTCTATTGCATTTGGATCCATGGTATAAGGAGTAACTTTCTTTTGCTAAGTTAACTTACTTACAATAACAATTCAGCATTGGGAAGGAAAATACTAGAATGACTAAACATACAGAATACAGCTTGATGAACGCAAAGTGGCCCTCCCAGGCTATTATGAATGGTGGAATAAGGAGCTACCTTCATGATAGGGCTACAAGTTTCTCAAGATAAGTTTCTCTTTGAATAAACCATGAAAATGCCAACTCCCAAGAAAGTTAGAAATAAGTTTAAAAAAAAAAAAGATTTTATTTACTTTTAGAGAGAGGGGAAGGGAGGGAGAAAGAAAGGGAGAGAAACATCAGTGTGTGGTTGCCTTTCGTGCGCCCCCCACTGGTGACCTGGCTTGCAACCCAGGCATGTGCCCTCACTGGGAATTGAACGGGTGACCCATTGGTTTGCAGGCCGGCGCTCAACCCCCTGAGCCCCACCAGCCAGGGCTGAAATAAGCTTTTTAATATATATTCTTTTAGAGCTTAGAAACTGTCTTCGAGAGTCCTCTTTTAAAATGCAAATATTCCAGAAGAAGTTAATCATTTCAGCTAATATCTTAGAGTTATATTTTGTAGTATCATTGCTGATATGCAAAACAGTATTATATAAACAGGTAAACTTTTAGTTCTTTTAAAAATTCAGTAGTTCAATATCCACTTCAATGCACTTTAGGAACATACAACTCATACTGAACACACAGTTTTGAAAAAAGTATTGCTTAGGGAAAGGGAATAACGATAGGTCATCAACAGCACTAGCAGCACAGAAACACAACAAAAGCCATGAAAGGGGAAAAGCAGGTGGGCCCTGGCTGGTGGCTCAGATGGCTGGGGTGTCATCCGCACACCAAAAGGTGGCAGGTCCAGTTCCCGGTCAGGGCACATACCAGGTTATGGGTTCAAGCCCCAGTCAGGGCATATACAGGAAGGTCGCTGTTTCTCTCTGTCCCTCTCTCTAATGAATGAAAACATATTGTCTGGTAAGGATTTTAAAAAAAAAGGCACATGGGAAACACTGTCTTTGAAGGACTAGGAGAGCTGGCTGGGAACCCTGAGAGAATGGGGGGCACAACACACACGGGGTGCTCCGGGCTCCCGAGCGGTGGCCAGGAGAGGTCGGACAGGGCTCTGGACGCAAGGTAGGAGGTTTGCGCAGGCTAGACCTAACACTTTTCCTGGACTTGACCCAGGTCCTCAAGAAAAACCAATCTCTTGCAGAAGAGGAGTGAATGGCAGCATTGCCATGTGTCATAGGATAAGACAGGAGACTCCGGAGATGTTTCTCTACTCAATTCCACTCCCTTTCCCTCCAATTTCAGTGTCCCATTATCTAATCCTCAATTCATTTAAACTTAGTTGTGTAGATAAACTCTTTTGAAGTTGCAAATACTCTAGGGAGAGCTGTCAGTCATTCACAATTTAGTAAGATCTATATTCGGGCTGCCTTCCGCCCAGCACTTAGGCTGAAATCAGCTGCAATGTGGCAGGAGAATTTTAATGAGCAGAGGCAAGTAGAGGGAGGGAGGGAGGGCTGACGGCGCAGGAGACAAGGAGTAAGAAATGGTGTGTGGTTAGGGTGGGAGGTGAACAAAGTGCTAACGTGGCGGAGAGAGGTTTGAGAAAGGGTGCCCAGACTTTCAACTAGGTTTCCTTAACCGTTTTATCAGATTGGCCCTGCAGGTTAGAGCTGGAAACAGTTATCTTTTCAGCAGAGCATTAAAAGGTGTTCTTGCCCTGGCTGGCGTGGCTCAGTGGATTGAGTGCCGGCCTACAAACCAGGGCACATGGCCAGGTTGTGGGCCAGATACCCACTAGGGGGCGCATGAGAGGCAACCACACATTGATGTTTCCCTCTTTCCTTCCCTTCTCCTCTCTTAAAATCCATCCATCCATCCATCCATCCATCAATCAATCTTTAGAAAAAGAAGTTGTTCTTGTTGAACCTTCAGAGAAAGCAATCATCCCTTTTCCTGAAATCCTCAGAGAAAGTCCATTTTATTCACATTCTCCCGTAGCAGACAAGGCAGGAAACTTACCTAGTTTGATCACAAAGTTGATGAATCTCTGAATACAAAACTGGAAAGAAACAAAGAAATCTATAGTCAGTATTACTGGATGGTGATAACAATGTAAGAATTTCGAAGTTACACAAACCCCAAACCAAAAAGTCCACACACCTTAATTTTCTAAAAGTCCCTCAGAGTGAAGAAAAAGAGCCAAGCAAAGATGGTTCAGCAGGATCTTTTCATACATTTAAGCTTTATGAAATGGACCCACACAGAAAAGAAGCTCCAATGATAGAACTGTGCCACAGAGACTTAAGATAGGGAAGACAGCCTTTAACCCATCAAGCTCACGTAGCTAAACTTATCAGGGAGCACAGTTGTTTCCAAACCGGGGCACACTAACCTCTGGGGTACTTTTTCCAAGACACTTAAGGAGCAAGTGGCCAAAGCGAAGATTTATGGGAATCAATTTTTAGATATTCAGCTTCCGTTAAGTGCTAATTTCTAAAACTGATCAGAATAAGAATTCACACATAAGGGGCCTGTGGGTTGTCCTTTTATATCTCCCCTTTCACGGTGCTTCTTTTTCTCCCCTTTTTGAACAAAATAAGGACATATCTCCCACATCACTGCCCTGGGACACCTCTGGGAACTAAATAAAGGGGCAAATCAAAATGTTGGCGTTGGCATCAACAAAGAAAATGACAGAGTGGTTGCTCTAACGGATGGAGAACGGGTGCTCTAAAAAAATCAGAGGTTTTCAGTTTTTTTGCTTTCAACATGGCTTTCAACGTTGCGGCTCATGTTGTCAGCTGAAAATCATTAAATGGTCGCACATTTGGATTTTTGGCACGTGACTCAAAAAGAATTGTGACACTGTTCTAACAAAATCTCTTCCATTCTTACCTGTAATTTATATGGACAGGGTTTCACAGCACTCATTTCTCTAAAGACAAAAACCAGCAATAGTGTTGATGCTAAACTTGAACTCATCTTAGCACCAAGTAGTACTCATCCATAATTTCATGAGCTAATTCATAAAAAGGGATTACCATCCATCTCTAAGCGATGTGCTTCCAATAACATTTTACTTTTGTGTTGTTTTAATTAACTGTACGGTAGTAATAAAAAATTCAATGCAGAACAAAACTTTAATATCCAGAGCCTTACAAACATATATATACCTTTTCCCCCCTCACTCCCAAACTATATAGCACATCACATTCACAAGGCTGCACTTGGCCGCTGTTTTCCACTTAATATATCATGGAGATCTTTTCAGATCTGTACATATAAAACTAGCTCATTCTTTTAAAGGGCTGTATATCATTTGATTGTGTAACTCAAACATAATGCATTTAACCATTCCCTTATAGATGGATATTTGCGCAGTTTTCATCTTTTGCTATCATAAATAATACTGTAAGGAATATCTTTGTACATGTGTCATTTCACGTGTATAAATATAACAAATGGTATATAAGCCCATGAGAATGACGAAGGTGAGCCACAGCTATTCGACTGCCTCTTCACTGACTGCAAACCCCTGTAGGGTCGAGGCCAGCTCTATGGAAATACTGTGCTCAGCTCAGCCCCTGGCACGTGCGTGAGTAAATGCAACCGACCTGCACTCGCCTTCCTGTAGGAAGAAACAGAATACGGTAAACTAACTTCCTTACCAATACGGTTTTGAGTAGGACGATTTATTTGAGTAGGACTAAAGGGGGAAAAAATAGATGGCAACTGGATCAGCCGAAAAAGGAAAGGCTAATGGTCCACCTCACAGCTGTTTCTCAGCTTACTCTGTCCTGTGTGTTCCCTGTCATTCAGCTCAGGACAGGTTGCAATTTGCAGAAATAACATTTTCTGGGAAAGTAAGAAAAAAGAAAACCATGAATGCAAAGAGATGGCAGAGTCCATACAACTGACACTTCTTATCATCATTTAAGTCAAAGCCTTGCCAGTGTTTCATTCGTTGGCATAGCTTCCTAAGCCCCTACGCTGTTCCTGTCTTCAGCTTTACCTGGTTAGGGGCTGACCAAAGGTAAATATTTAAAATAAGTGTCTAAACTCTAAATAGGAAGTCAATTTCGGCTGGCACGGTGCTCAGGGCAGGCCACCAGGTCTGACCTTGCTTATGTCTTTCATTCCCACTTAGTTTCTTGGTCCCTCTCGGTCACTTTCACTGTCCTGAAACACTCTGTGCCTCTTGGCCTCCAGAAGCCTTTTTCTCGTGCCTGCTCTCCTGCTTTTCACCTCATTCCACCTGCCGGAAGTACATGCGCTGCCCAGCCGCTGAGATCAGCTCTGTGCAGCGAGGCCCTCTGCTCCCTGCACAGCCAGGCCGTCCTCCGAGCGACTTTCACCGCAGCCACCGTTTCCCTGGGCTCCTCCCCATCGCCAGTGAGCTCCTGCTGCTGTTCGTTCCCCGTTTCAAAGCCGGTAGCGCCTGTCTCCTGCCCGGTGGACATTTTCCGTTCTCAGCACATGTCTGTGGGGAAGAGGACTAACCTGCTCTGACCTTGAGTGAATTCTCCGCATTTTAGGTCACCAGCGTCTCAGTTTCTGGTGACTCAGGTGCTGACGTCCTTAAGGGGATGGCATGTGGTCACTTCCCCAGAAATCTATTGCTTTTATTTTACAGTCCCAAATGTACTTTGAACATAGAGTAAAAAGGAGATCATTACTAGGAGGAGCAGAGAGGAGTCCTTCCTGCACGGGGCCTGGCCTGATTAGACATGTAAGGGCACGGACAATGGGCACGGGTTTGAGTTTAAACAAGAAAAAAGCAAGAAGCAGAAGGGAAGTAGAGAAGGAGGCAGCCAGGCAATTTTAACAAGGGCAGGTATGGCAGGATGAGAGAGACTGAGGGTGTTCAGGTGGGAAAGAATGGAGGCTGTGACGTATGAGAAGGAAATAAAAAGTCAACCTGGTAATTCAGGGCCGAAGAGAAGTCCTTCCGTTCAAAAGCCTCCAACATCTGGTTTGTCATTTTCCCCAGGTAGTTGTAGGTACTGGAAAGAAAACAGCACGTGTTGTAGGGTCAGTAACCCAGTGGGAAAGGTCCAGATCTTCAAACCACCCTGTTGCTTACAAGGCACAGATATACCCACCTTTCAGAAAGTCTATTCTCAGGCTCTCGCCTATTGGAGGGTCAGGTGTCTTCGGTTCTGAGTTTTCAGCATCGCTGAGCAGCCCCCAGAGGAGGGAGAGAACACCCAAGCGATGAAGGAAGTGAAGAAAAGTGAGAGTAGGATCAAATGAGAAAAAAGGAAAGATGGAGGTGTGTTTAGTAAGGAACCACCGAGGCAGCCCCTGCCGTAGGGCACAGGCGCGCGCAGTGCTAGGTAAGAACTGTGCGTTGGACGTGGTGTCTGAGGTGAGTCCTGAAGGCCTGAGGCTGGGGAGGTGGGTGGAGGGCGCACCACAGAAAAGGGGCAGGTCCCAACGGATTACCTGAATTCTTTCACTACTTCTGTATTAGCTAGAGACCAGTTTCTAGCAAATGATGATAATAAAATAAGAGGCCATTTATTCAGTGTCAATTATATTCAAGGTGCTTGACGCAAATCATGTCTCATTCTCTCCAAGCCCTGCAAGGTAGGCCTGGTTTCTAGTTCACCGTGACGGAACTGTGGCTCAAGAAGGGTAGAGAGTTGTCACAAAGTTTCCATCACTTCATGCTCCCTTCTGTGACAATTCAATAAAATGAAAGCATTTGGTCTCATAAAATGTTCTTGTTGACTTAAAAAAAAAATCTCTAAGTTTAGCAATAAAGACAAATACCTCAGATTAATCACTAAAATCTTAGAGAAACCAGAAAGATAGGTTATAAAAATTTATAGCTAGAATGTTTCCCCATTTGTTAACAACTCCTTCTAAAGTAAGTTAGCATCAGAACACATGCTTATCTTGTACCAAGAACAGAATGTTCTTCATGTATGTAGACCTAGGAGTAAGCAGCAAAGGGTTCCAAGAACATGAAGTTTATATTATTGTCTGGTAATTAAGTAAGGAAAATAAAATATCATAGCTGAGAAAAGTCACTTGTAGGTATGAAACACTCCTAAGTCCCAATACATACATGAATGTCTGAGAACTTTTGGAAAACTACATTCATATCCCAGGGTCTTAGGCGTGTCCTCAGACAGAGACGAACATGATTATCAATTAAGAAGACACGACGTCTAACCAAGTGTACCACTCTGCTTATAAATTATGTTGGCAGAAAATGTTTACTATTGAGGCCGAAAAAAAACAAAACCCAAAAAACAAGAGTCAAAAAAGTCACCATTTCCAGGGGGAAAAAGGTTCCAGGGTCAGCAGATGCAGGCCTTCATGTCTCTTTGGTAGAAATGTCCCTACCGTGATAATGGATTATAAAGGCCATCCCAGCTTGTGAACAAGCCATGAAGACAATCTAACTCAGTTACTCTTCATCAAAGCCATGCTCACCCAGACGTGCTATGAATATTACCTTGCTTCCCCTGCACATTTCCTGCAGGGAAGAAATGCACTCTCAGTTAGTGCAAATGTTTCAATCCACTGCTTGCAGGCACCTTTCTAATGAATTAGGTTAGCGTGCGCAGTGGACATGCTAATCGAATTGCCTGCCTTCCCTAGGCCTTCTCCTTAGTGGGCTTAAAGCCCCACGATTCTACTTTCCTGGCTGCAGCAGGTGGGATTTGAGGTGGACACCGTTGGGCAGCTCAATAGATCGCATGTGTGTGGAGGCAGAGAAAGCTCATCTGGAGAGAAAGAAAGAGGGGGAAATAGAGTCGTGCAGAGAGATGCAGAGGTGAGCGTCTCAGAGGACCGCAGATGGATGGAGAATGAGCTGCCTTGGCTGTTGAGAGCCTTGTAGTTCTGGATTCTCATCTTCCCTCAGGCCTGGCTATGCTTCCTCCTCTTGAGTTTTATGTAATTTCCTAGTATTTTACAATAACACCTTAGTGCGCATATGCTAGTTTGAATGGGTTAATGTTATCTGTGACCAAATAATTTCTGACCAAGAAATTATGTGCATGCTCTGAGCTTGTGTGTCTGACCTCTTATTGCAACAGATGCTTCTAATAACAAAGGCTGAGTTGCTAAGCCCTACTTAATTCCCAGCCACTGAAGGATTGTGGGGAAGAAAGGCAACTTCCACAGAAAAGGTGTACATGCAACAAGCATTACTACTTAGAAGATGAATGCCTCTCTGGGGGCCTTTTACACATTTGTACATTGGTGACCACGGGGAAAAACGAGCCCTGCTTACCTGCCCACTGCTCCGGTCGCTCCCATCACTAGAGCACTCAGCAGTTGCTAGTCAGAAACGGACAAAGGGTATTTACTTTCACGAAAAAGAAAAAGAAGATGCTACTTTATAAGCAGCTCCAAAAATTATTTTGGGGGGAAACTAGCCCATGGGACATGCCAAGGCGTGACTTACCTCATCCACCCCGAAAAGGAGAGCAAACTGTCGCTGGCGATTCTGATCAACACACTGCCCGAAGTCGAGCAGGTCTGTGTCACTAAATTTCAGCCCTTGGAAGGTGGGGATCTTCTCCTGAATCCCATCCAACAACTCCTCGGCACGAACTGCTCAAAACAACGAGCGCCTTCTTAATCCGCCCACCTCCAGAAAACATCGAATAACATTCCATATAGCCCCACACATTTGCACTGAGGTCCCAGGAGCTATTCTCGGCCTTGATTGACTGCAGGTTGGACATGACACCTTGCCCTCGCCTAGCAGGTCCTAGGTCTTATACTTGTCAAGTTATAGCCCCAAGTCTTCCGTTCCTTGAAGACTATCGATGGATATTTGTAGAGCACAACTTCTATTTTTATTTTTAAGAAAGTTGGAAGGGAAAATAATCTAAATAATTTCATTTAATTGTAACAATCCTCTTGCTGGAGAAGTACAGTAATAATAAAAGAAAAGCAAGAAAAGGTCAGAGACCCTTCCTACGTGCCAGGCACTGAGAACACAGCAGGGTACAAGGCAGACACAATCCTGTCCTCGTGGGGCCTCCAGGCTGCGTCTTCCTGTATGAGGGGGAGGGGTGGGTGCGACAAGTGCCCAGGAGTCAACTGCTCCTTCACACTTGACTTCCATCCTAAGGTGGTGTCCGTGACTGGTAAGGGCTGACCTCCTTTTGAGGAGAGTGACTTATTTTGGAGCAATTGGAACCACCTAGTCAACAGCGTTATGCTTTTCTGCCATGGGGTGGGAGGGAAGGAGTGAGTGGGGTTTCTTTGCCCAACAGGGTAAGATGTGAGGCAGGAGAGAAAGAAACATAGACGGAAGCAGTACTTACTCTTTACCCCTGTCAAGGAAGGGATGTGATAGTAATAAAAAGGCAGTTCCGGGGCAGCAGCAGCCACCTCCTTCAGGAAACCAATGAGGTCATCTGAAAGAAGAGCCGGCAAAGTCATGTTGGGAACATGTGCAATGCACTGGCTTTCCCTGGTAGGTGAACCATCTAATGAAATGCAGCCATTCTTTTTGGAAGCCGAAAATCCTTGGTCCCTCTTGCCTTCCCTGAGATTGCTTACTGCAATGTCTTTGCAACTCACTTCATTCAAAGTTTTATTTTCATTTCTGTAGAAAGGCCAAAATAGGCGATCGCTCTTCTACCATTTTAAAGGATTATTAAAATTCTGGTGTGAACCTTCTCACCTGTTAAGAGAAGCTCATGAAATACTATTACAAAAACGAGAAGCCCATCAGGTAGGACTCTTGCCCCCTCACCCCAGAGGGGCTAAGTGTGCTCAGTGAACAACACAGACTTTGCATGAGGATCAGAAAAAGAAAACTGTAACAGAAAGTTCTACAACCAAAAGCTAAGCACCATCTGCTCAAAGAGGGAAGTTTCAAGGGTAGTCACACACCCCTGGCCGGGTGGCTCAGTTGGTTGGAGCATTGTCCCATACACCAAAAGGTTGTGGTTTCAATCCCCAGTCAGCTCACAGACCTAGCACGCAGGTTCAATCCCCAGTTAGGGTGCCGACAGGAGGCAACCCATTGATGCTTCTCTCAATAGGAGTCACACGTAACACAATAATTCAGCCAGGGTTTGGTACTTTCTTCCTTTTGGGGAGAAATCCAGGTATGTCAGGAGAGGGCTCACTCCAGTTTACTGAGGTCTGGGGACCTTCTCCATTATCCAATGTGAGCTTCAGGTGCAACATTACTGCGGAGAATAAACAAATCCAGCAGACTTGCTTCTGATGCCACTGGAGAGTGGGAGAGAGAATCTTATATTCTTCACCTGAATACTGTGATGATATGTTCTGTCAGTGATAAGTATTTCTGACAAAATTATTATGTATAACTTTTTTTCCCTGCCTTTTGGAAAAAGTATTCATGTAGAATTTTAAAAAGCCATGTGAAAAAAAACCCCCAATTTTTCAAATGTTCATTTTAAAGTCCCCAAATAGCAATATTTAAATTACTTATCTGTATTAACAACTATTTTCTCTCTACCAATAATAGGTGTTATTTCACGATCATTTCAACCTATTATCCATTTAGTTATGGGTTTATTTAATCATGCATGCAAATAACATCTTGTCTGTTTCTAATCCTTTGAAAATTTGTATTTCTTTTTTTGCTAATCAAAAGGATTAAAAAGACTCAGTGTACCTGGAAACCACAAATAGTTTTTATAGAGAATGTAGAGGAGGAGAAAATAATACCTTGATATTTTGGAAGACAATAGATGTTTCTGTGAAATCTCTTCAAATTCCTCACTCAACCTTGCAGAGTACATGTAGTCTCAAAATGCTCAGCACTTATATTCCTCTTTTTTTGAGAAAAACGGTCCCACGCTTTGCCATGTGACTCTGACAACTCTGAAGAGTTGATACACCAAGGACTGGATACCTGACCCAAACACAGGCACCCATTGGTTGACCCGGGGCTTGGAGGATGACCCAATCAGATTGCTTGACAAAAGAATTGAAATCTTTCAATGAAGTCTTTCTTTAATGGATCCAGGGAGGCCAAGTATCGTGGAGAACTATTGTACCACTGCAATGTCATGCCTCCAGTCTGCAAAACTTTTCTTTCATGAGTGAAATATAACCATGTGGATGAAGGCAAGAAGAAGTGGACCGTGTGAGGTACTGAGCATTTAGACCTGTCTCATTACCTTTGTTCCGTGGCTTGAGAAAGAAAGGTGCAATGACAGCAATGCCATCGGCTCCTATTTTTGCCGCATGTTTGGCCTTTAAAAGAAGAAAGAAGACTTTTATGGATCTGGTCCCAGTTCTGATGTGAGTAGATGTGGGGGTTTTCCCACACCAACAAGCAATTCACTGACCCTAGCTGGGTGTCCTATGGTTCAGTTCAGCTCTGACACTATCTACCTGTGACAGAGTCTGATCCCACAGACTAAGGGCTCAACCCCCTTCCCCTCTCCCCCCACTGAGATGTCAGTCGCAAGCCCCGGTTGTCACCTGCGCTTCTGACCCACCGGCTACAGGTTAGAGGTTCCAACTACCCACTCATGGGTTGATTAACTTGCTAGAGCGGCTCGCAGAACTCAGAGAAACATTTAACTTCCTAGATAGCCAGTTTATTATAAAAAGGATAGAACTCAGGAGCAGCCAGATGAAGAGATGTATAGGGCAAGGCACGGGGAAAGGGCGTGGAGCTCGCATGCCCTGTGGAACGCAAGTGGGCAACTCTCTCCAAATCTCTACCTGTTCACCAGCCTGGCAGTCCTCTGAAATCCCCCCCTTTGAATTTTTGTGGAGGTGTCATTTCATAGGCATGATTGATTAAATAACTGGCCATTGGTGAGTAATTCAAGTTCCAGTCCCTTCCCCTGTAATCCCCTGCTCACTTGGTTGGTTGTCCTGGCAACAGCCCCCACCCTTAGGTGCTTTACAAAAGTTACCTCTTTAACAAGACACACCTTTACTGCGCTCATCACAGGAGATTCCAAGCGTTTTAGGAGCTCTTTGCCAAAAAAGGGACAAAGACCAAATAGAGCAAGTCCTCCCTTATTCATGTGGCTAGTTTACTTCACTAAACATATGTGAATGCCTTCAAAGAGGTTCGTCCATATTGTAGCATATGACAGAATCCATTCCCTTCCTTTTTAAGACTGAATAATATTCTGCTGTATCTATATACCCCACTGGTTTATCCATTCGTCCTTAGATGTGCATTTGGGCTACTTCCACCTCCTGGCTCTTGTGAATAGCGCTGCAATGGGCACGGCTGGGGCGAGCTTTTGTGTTCCAGTTCTCTCTCCCACTCCAGGCGGCATTTCTCAATTCTCTCCACTCATCCTGGCTAAACCCCATGTTCCATCTCCTTTATGCCCAGCAGGGACCTGGCCCTTTACTTCTTAGAGAAAACACTTCGGCTTAAAGTGTGCTCCTTACCTGCAAACTTAGCTACCTCTATTCCCATCCTTACTTTGCTCAGAAAAAGAGGTGCCTCCATCTTCCATTCAAAGCTCTGCTACAACGGGTATCACCTTGGGTATTCTCTTTGGGCTCTGCCCCTGCTTCTGGCTGGGGAGCTCTGTGAGTTGCCACACCTTATATTCTCCAGCACAGCATCCAATATGTAGCAAAAATGGTACTGATTGTAGCTTCAGCATAAAAATGGAGGCCCCCGAGTGGTCCCTCCCAGATGGACCTACATACATACCAGTTCTTGTGACTCCTTCAAGCTCAGGGCTCCTACGTGAATTACCACCTGATCCAACCTGCAAAAGAGAAAGCATGGTTGCATCACTCAAAGTTTACAACAACACAGAAGGGCTGTGCCATCTTGGTTTGTGCTGGTTTTTGCAGTTAGCGAATATTTGACGCATCTCATTCTCATGACTATCAAGCTCTGCAGTGGTCTACTTATAATGAACCTAATTTGGGATTAAGAAAATGTCCAGAGAATAAAATTTAAGGTTCAATCAAGGAGTAGAATTTTGCAACCAGTGACTGATTAATCAATGTTTAAGTAGTTTTTTTTTTTTTGACACAGCCTTGTTTTAGATGCTGTATTTGATTATGATAACACGCATAAAGATAGGTATAAAAGTGAGATTTTTTTGTGTTTGTGGGGGGATAAAAATAAAGAGGTTCCTCAAAGAGAACAACCAGGACCAACCATATGAGAAGTGAATTCACTGTAAAAAGCCTCTTCCTATCTTGTCAGTCCCTAGAATGTGGCCAGAAGAGGTTTCTCTGAGATTCCGGTGTTCGTTGCTGGAGCTGCTCCGTGCGGCCCTGAGGAAGAGGCCAGTGAGGCTGGTCTTCTCAGGGTAGGATTACTAAGACTCGGCTGAGAACCCAGGTGTCCCAGCGAGTCTTCTGAGGGACTGAACGACACAGACCTTGTCCTCATGGATGGAGACACCACATTTCCATTTAGGCCCAGTTGTGTCCTGCACTGATTCTTAAGTTGTCTGTCTTAAATAAAATGGGACCTAGCTGGAAGATGATATGATGAGGCCGGCACTGTAAAGGATAATAAAAGACTCTGACAGGAGAAGAGAAGCTGACTGACTGGCTTCACTCTCACTGGCAGCTTTATTGCAGGACTTCCCTGTCCCTTTCTCCTGGCTCAAGTTAAAACAGTCATCCGTTTTCTGCTCCTCTCCACCCTGCTGCTCGGCACTGCTAGAGAAAACCACCTTGTGGCTGGAACACACCCCTGTCATTTCCTGATTCAGGAGAAGGAGGCTCCGAAAAGCCTTCTGGTCAACCTGACTGACTTGCTTTTCCAATTCCCTGCAGTGGCTACTCCACATCTTCACTATTCTCCTTAAGCTCTAAATTCCACCCCAACTCCTTGTTCTGGGCAGATGTCTTCACTTCCTAGACGTCAAAGATGAAGCTGCTTTCACACATAAGACTCCCTCACATTTCCTGCTCCGCGCTGAGCTGAGTCACTGTCTGAGCTCCCCATGCAGCTTCCTGGACGGCTCCTAAAGCTACCCTACCTCTTGGTTTTACTACACACTCCCCCGCCCCACGCCCCACACCGAGACTTTCCATCCAAGGCATCCGTGCTCCATTCTCTTTAGCCTCTTCTCCCATGGCGACATCCCCTCCGCATAGAAACACGCTCCGGGCTTCCCCGCTTGAAGAAAAAGAAGCTGCCCTCCCTCCTCTCTAATCTACCGGGCCCCCTCTCCTTCCCTTCACCAGAAATTTTTTCTGAGCATAAGCTCCACTCCTGCCCGCGCGTCCCCGCGTCCGCTGCATTCCTCAGCCACTGCAGCCTCCCTCTGCTACAATCTCCCCTGGTTCCCTCCTCTCCGAGGTATTGGTCACTTCTTCCATGTCAATCCAAGTGGCCTTCTCAGCACGCCACCTTCTCACTTTCACAGCATCTAACAATTATGATAACAAACTTCATAATGATCACAGCATCCACTGCAAATAATGACAGTAAATTCTTATGTGCTACTTAACACTATGTGTCAGGCACTGTTCAAGTCCCTGCCACCACCTTATACGACAGGCAGCGTCATTATTCCTATTTTACAGATGAAGCACAGGGTGGTTAAGACTTGCCTGAGTTCATAGAGCCGGTCAGAGGCCCCAAACTCTGGCAGCCTGGCTCTCCTGTCCTGCTTTTAATTAACATGCCACTGTGACACTTTCTGAAACCATTCCTCCTTCAGGGACAGGATCCACACCCCACCTCTGTCTCAGCTTCTGAGGGCTGCCTGTCTCTGTCCACATCTGTATCCCTGTTTCTGGTGTTTTTCTTAATGTTTATCCTTAGTCTTCCTCTTCTTTTACTCTGCCTATGGTCTTCAATCCTTTTGGGTCCAGGCTCTGCCTGAAAACTAGCTGTCAGCTGATGGATCACCAGAAAAGGCTTGTGTGAATCTGTATCTCACTGGGCTGAGATCCGGTTTTAGATCCCTGGGGCCGGTACTGTGCATAACACATGATGACATAAGAGACAATGAATGAAACCTGGTTAACTGAATGTGCTTATTGAACTGACACTCTCCTATTTGTTTCACCATGACACAAATTGAGAATTATAAGAAAAATCTATCATCACTCTGAAGTTAGAGGATGCAGAAAGTTTGCCAAGACAAGAAGCAGCAGCCCCATATATAGTACGTTGATCCTGTGCAAGGAGAAGACCTATAAGGTAGCAGGGCTCACACAGAAGCATCAGGTGTCCATCCTGAGAAGGCAAGAGCATGAATTTCTCAGCCGCAGAGCCAGGAGCCCAGCGGATCAGTCACCAGCACCTTCCCTCTTATGCCCCCAGCCCAAGACCAGGTAACCCAAGAGGACTGATTGGTGGATAGATGGGAGGCGGGTTCCCGTTTCTGGATGGAATCTGAGAGCCAGACGTGTCTCGCAGCCCAGCCACCCTTCCACACAGAGAGGAAGGGTGCTCCTCTGTCGATGCAGCTCTTGCAGGTGAGTGTTTTTATCCTGGTGGAGCTACTCACTTGTTTCTTCCTTTTGTCACCCACTCCTCTGCGACCTGGCAGCGCTCCGAGATGCTCAGAGACAGGCCTTCTCCCGTTGTGCCATTCACTGTTACAAATGAAAAGTCAGTCAGTGGGGCCAACCAGTACCTTTCACTCATCCAGCGCTAGGAGGGCGGGGTCAGAAATCCCTGCTTAAGAGGAAGTGACCCAGAGAAACGAGAACCGTCGGAGGACAGAATCGAGGAGGGCAAGGGGCAAAATGCCGTATTTCCATTTTCCATCTTTGCCTTGGCATAAGTAACAGGAAAGTTAATTTTGACTTATAATTATAGATCAGCCATTGTTATCAGGGATGGAGAGCAAAGACCAAGATGACTCCTATGTTTTAGGCAAATCTCCTAAATACCACCCAGTTTGACATTTGGCCTCGAAAAGCAGGAATATTGGTACCGTCCAGCCCCAGAACATCCAGGCAGCCATGACCTCTGCCTGTAGCTGGGCATGGGGGCGCTCCAGGACTACTTTTTTTCTTTTAAATAATAGTTTATAAGAAAGCACCAGGATGTTAGTATTTTTTTTTTTTTTTGTAGCAAGCACTCATATATATTCACTTCTTCTCACGACAGCCCTGCAAAGTACAAGTAATTCTTCTCATTCACAGATGAAAATGTGAGGTTCTGAGTCACTAACTAAGCCAAGTTTGAATCCACATCTCTGTGATTCCAAAACTTTCTCTTCTACCAATGTGTCACGGAAAGGACACAGATGGCACTAGGACACAGCACCGGGCCTAACGGAGCACTTTGGATCTCCAAATACTGAGCACTCAGCAGGGACAGAGGGGGAACAGCAGAGAGTGTTTTTATCACTCTTTTGGGGCCTTGAGCTGCCCCAAGCGTGCTCCCTGGAGCCCTCGGAGGAGGAAGAACCTATCTTCCCCGCTGTGGCTGAGAGCTGTAGGCAAGCACTGAGGGGTTTGGTTTTGTTTTTTAAGGTTTTATTTATTTATTTTTAGAGAGCGGGGAAGGGAGGAAGAGAGGCAGAGACACATCAATGTGTGGTTGCCTCTTGCGCACCCCCCTATGGGGGACCTGGCCTACAAGCCAGGCTGCGCCCTGACTGGGAATCTAACCGGAGACCCTTTGGTTCGCAGGCCGGCACTGAGTGAGTGGTTCTGTAATCAGGCTGTGCTGTGACATGTGGCCGCCTTTTCACAGACATTTTAACCTGCTGTGATTATGACCCTGTGGTGCCTCCAGTTCTGAAGGGGACTCTGGTGGTGGAGCAGGTGCTCAGGGCCACGGTGCAGTGTCCTTAGGACGACGACCAGTCCAAAAGGCTGAGGCCCAGAGCCCAGCACGAGGGGCAATGTAGCTGCAGGTAAGTGTAGCTGTCAGGCTTAAAATGTTCAAGGTCTGATTTTCTAAGTTTCCACCACTTAGATCTGTGGTTGCCTTAAAGTCTTTCTTACATTTAAAATATGAGAAGTCTGGGTGAAGAGAATAAAGCCCATTCTAAAGAGAGAGAAGCCTGGGTTTTGTTGTTTTTCTACTGCTTCTTGGTTGAATAGACTTGAACAACCTAAATAACATATCTAAACCATAAATTTTCTTCTTCAAATGGGGGTAAAAATAATACCTTATCTGCTTTGAAGTCCCACCCCCAAATCAGATAATCTCTTCAGGTGCTTTTTTGGTCTAAAACTGATGAATCTACCAACTCACAAATTTGACATAGCTTAGCCAGACTCAGTCACAACCTATGACACCTTGGTACTGTGACATCCTGGCTATTAACTAGATAAGAGTTACTAAGGGCTGAGCTAGAGTTATGCAGAGAGATGTCTAAAGGTGACTTACCAAAAATATTCTTCACTCCCTGCTTTTCCACAAGATAATCCACATACTGACCAATTACTGAGAAGTTGATTTCTCTAAGAGACACAGGAAAAAATAGAAAAAAATGTATATTTAGTCCTTTTTTGAATATTATTTCACCAGTCCCCAAGTCTATAACCTGCACTCAATTGTTAATGGTTTTAAAAATCCACCTAGTCAGGGAAATTCTTAGCCACCTCCAAGTAATACCTAGGTTTGCAGGGGTTTTTTCTTCTGAGTCTGGTGATTTCTCTGCTTAGCCACGAGTTCCTTACTTACGTGTGCAAAACACTATTAATCAATAAAAGCTTTACATTTAATTATTAAAAATTGAATTATATAGGAAAAAAAGAAGCTACTGAATCATCTTTTGCCCTTTGAGGAAGAGTCATAGTTGGGGGCATGTTTAAATAAGAACTTTTTCCCACTTGGTGAGGAGCAATCGTTTTGGCTTAAAAAATAGGAAAATTCAACCTTAATAACTTAAGAATTTTAGCACTTAATATTTATGACAACAAATGAAGGCTTAAATCCACCTGTCTTTGCTAGTTTTAAATCAGAGGATTAATAGTTGGAAGAATTTTGCTATCAGTTGGCCTCTCCAAGTGGGGTCTGCTGAACGGCAGCATCGGGGGAAGCCTGTTGGAAATGCAGAGTCCCACTGCGCGCTGCAAGGGTCTGCACTGTGGTCCCCGTCACCTGCGTGCGCTTTGCAGCGTGCTGACCTCGTGAGGATCTGAGGCTTAAGGCAAGGAGGGCTCTTTACCTGAAAATCATATTGATTTTAAAATCTAGAAACGGACTCAAAAACAAACCATCTAAAAGCCACCTGTTCTCAATCAAAGCACAGGGGAGAAGGACGGGGGGTGGAGAGTGAAAACGCAAAGAACTGTGGGAAAAGCCTGTGTTAAGTGCGGTGGGACCATGGTTCCGTGGATAAGAACACAAAATAGCAGCCGAAGAACACAAAGTAGCAGTTGGCAGCCGTCTGCATTTGTCAGTGGGCCAGAGAACCCTAATTTAATTTTAACCTTATTAATACATTTTTCTCATTTACTTATTGTATTTCTTCAAAGAACAAAGGCAAAACCAAAAAAAAATCTGATGTACATTCAAAACAAAGACAAAAAAGGGTACTTGCCAAAGAGAACGGGAACAATGGAGACCAAAACAAGAAATTTACAAGCAATCGCTGCCCACAGCATGCAAACCACCAGCAGGGGGAACAGGTGTGTTTTAATGCAGTTAGAAGGCCTCCCTCCTCCACTGGCTTAAATGCCAAATCCTCGCCTGTCAGCAGCAAATGTAGGTTGCTCTAACTTAAACATAAGATGGGGGAATAAGCTACCTAAACAGTTCATCTGAGGGCCCTCATTTAGGCCAGCTTGACCTGCTCAGACATTTCTGACCACTTGGGACCAGACGTTTATGAACACACCTGCTCCTTGCGGCTTCCATCAGCTGTTCCCCACTTGGGACAAGCTCTGGGATGCAGGAACCACCAGCAGGGGCTTTGTTTGTATGACACTAATGCTGGTTTTGACCAATGACGTCCATCTACTCACGCAAACAACCAAGAAACAGCGCCAGCAGACCCAGGGGACTTCTGAATCACAGATGGAAGCCTGGAAAGAGCCTCCCCAGGCAATAGCCTGGGCTGGGGTTACAGATTCCAAGGAGATGGCTCTGGTACACGTTCAGTGAAGTCTGGACCCCTCCCCAGCCCCGCCCGCTCGCTTACAGATGGAGACAGAGGCCCTGTTACCTTCACCGAGCAGAAGCCTGTAGAGCCCTGGATGGCCCAGGCCTGGCCGGCACTGTGCATTCTTTCAGTTTAATTGAATGCTTCCTCACTTGGAAGAGGAAGCTGGAGAGCTTATTTACATTCTTAGAAATCCTTAAAGAGAGAAGCAGACTTAGGCGGTTAGGGTGCATGTGTGTCCTCCCGGAAGTGGGCTCCTGAGCTCCGCAGACACCCCCACCACCAAGTGGGCCTTGCATGGCCGGCGGGCACGAGTGCTCGGCAATTTCTGGCTCCAGTGAAATGCTCAGTCATTACTGCTGTTCCTACTCCTCTGCGATGAAAACCAGAAAAGCCACACACCCTCAGCCAAGTTCACAACCGTTTTATTTTGAACATCAATTACTTATGTCTACCCCCAGGCTGCAGAGAGAACTTCCTGAAGGCGTGGCTGTGCCTTTCACACCCTGTAATCTCCAGTCTGCACCGGGCCCAGCGCAGATGCTCAACAAAGGCTGGGGACAGGCATCCATGATGCGGGAACGTACAATGATCATGAAATACCCATGATCTGCCTGAAAAGCAGCATATCCTCACACTCGCACCGTGCTGTTAAATTTCACTATTACATTAAGTGAGTGAAGGAGACAGCGTATATAAAGAACTGACGCATTAAGGACAATATGGGGAAGGCTATGAGTTAAAAATTACATGTGTGGCCCTGGCTGGTGCGGCTCAGCGGATTGAGTGCCAACCTGCGAACCAAAAGGTCGCTGGTGCAATTCCCAGTCAGGGCACATGCCTGGGTTGCAGGCCAGGTCCCCAGTAGGGGTGTGCGAGAGGCAATGACACACTAATGTTTCTCTCCTCTTCTCCCTTCCCCCTCTCTAAAAATAAATAAATCTTAAAAAAAAAACCGTGTGTAGCGGTCAGAAGAGGGACCGATCATTCCAACTAAGGAGGCTTCAGGGAGGACGTGGACCTGGAATAATAAACAGGATGAAACCCCACGAGCCCCCTTCCTTGCCATATTTTTGCGGGCTGCGGTTTGTCTGCTCTGCCCTGGACCCCCTCTCTCCAGGCAGCGGGCTGCACAGCCAGGTACGTCTGTGAAACCCAGGGTCCTCCTCCTTCCTCAGTGAACTCCACACTCTCTTATGGCTTCAGCGGGCAGCGTTTCCATCCACGCTTGAACCCCCTACTCCTTTAGGCCTTCATAAAGGACAAGCTATGGCAATTTCACTCAGGTTAGGGTTGTTCATGGGTGATAGATGTTCTATCCCTCCGAGAAACTTTGCTGCTTCTTGTAAAATGCTTCTGGCCTACAGGAGCGCTGCTACCAGTGGAACTTCTGGGGCAGTGGCAGAGTCACCCGGAACGTCCCTAGACTTATGGCCTTTTGGAACTACCAAATCCCCTTGGAAAGGTCAGAGGTTGAAAAGGGGTGGCCCCCACATGTGTTTTGTTGATTTTCACACTGTGAACATTCCTTCCCATGTTAAAAAAAGTGATTTTCTTTGAAAAGTCAGCTCTAACAAGGCCAGGCGTACACTTCGGCACAACACCAGCTGTCTGGGAGGCTCAGTGGCTGTCCCCTCTGGAGGCACAGAAGCCCCAGGTCCCCTCAGGGATTTCCGATTCCCGCCTGACCACGGGTGCAAGTCTCAGCCTTGGCAGAGGTGCTCAGTGGCCCCCGTCACAAGCGAGCCGAGTGAAATCACCGGAGCTGTTACCATACTTGTCACAAAGGCACCCAGAGAGCAGGGCTCGGGTGGTAAAAGGAAGAACCTTTTCCCGGGGGTCTCTGCTCCCTTCCTTGTTTCCCTGCCTCCTCTGCCTCCCCAGGGCACCTGCGATCCTGTTCATTGCTGCAGGCGCTGTGTCGGTTACCAGCAAGTCACTAGAGCAAATGGGACGATGAGAATTAATTATTCTTCTCCTCACTGGCTCTTTGTGGCTTGGTGCCCATGGGAGTGCGAGGTGGCACTTGAAAAAGTTCACTTGAAAAAGCTGCACTGGCTTTTTACTGTATGAACATGTCTAGCCAACCATCCGCCACCCTGGGGGACTGGCGCAGAACCACGCCCCCGGCTCGCTGTCGTCATTCTCATTCTTAACTCAGATGTAACATCTTAATTTCAGGTCCCGTGGAGTCAGAGTCTTTGCCATAGGTCCATGATTATAAATAAAAGCATTTAACTTTTTTTCGTATTACAGAAGCGATTTAATTTATTTTGGAAAGTACACACAAGAAGAAACGGAAAAAAACCTGTCAAGATCTCCCTGTAGATGATTGCTCTTATAAGTTTGATATTTTTCTATTCACAACCACACAGTATTTTCTTACATAACTATAGGCATATTACACATAATTGTAATATTTTTTCACAGTCTTCCACATTGACTATTTTCCCACATCTTCAGCCATTCTGCTACTATAGTGGCTACACGAGTCACAGTATAAATGCCCATAATTCATGTAGCTAATGCTCTATTCCTAAATCTTTAGTTTACTTCCAAACTCTGTAAGTGGAGAGACCTTTAACTGAATTATTTTAAAGAACAAACAGAGGCCCTGAGTGGGTGAACTATGAAACCTCACGCAGACTACATCTCTCCTCTTACCATGTAAGGATAATAGAGTTTTTCTGAAGTCTCTTTTCAGAGAAAAATCTCCACTACTGTTTATTTCCTCTCCTGGCCCCCAGTACACAGGAAAGACTCTCTCTCTCTGAGAGCACAGAATCAACAGGATGGCACTTCTCCAATTGGCATGATCTGGCACACTCATCAGAAAACCTGACATTCCAATCTTTTCGCCCTTCACCTATATCTTTCAGCATTTGAAATCAGATGGAAGTTACGTGCGCTTTGGGCAAAACAGCTACAGTACGTGGTTAGTTCGAAGCTCCTTCAAGTAGAGAAGCGAGCAGGGATCATGTTTGCCCCAACTTGCCAGAGCATGTTCTGCACACATGGGTCACAAAGTCTCCCGAACACAGTTAAGAAGACAATCATCTGTGTAACTCGCACTGCAGCAGGCCAGCCTTTCTGACTGGGGTCATGGGTTTTGTTTGACTAGAGCCTGTGCTGATGATTCCCACGGTAAAGTCAAGGGCATGTGAGGGAGAAAACACAACTTTTTTCCCTTGATATTGTGGCCGACCTGAAAGAGACCTTCTGTTCTAACGACTGTATTTGCCCGAAGGAAAAAGAGACTTCCCGAAACAACTCAGGAAAGCAAAAGTCTTTTACTCCAGTGTAGAAACAGAAAGGGGCTGGGCTGGGTACAGGAAGGTTTCCCATTTCAGCTGCACAGCTGGGGGCAAGACCTTTAGGATCTTTGTTTCATTCATTGCACAACTGGGGATAACAGCTCTGCCAAGGAGTCCTTGGAGGCTAAATTGGAACAGATGCACGAATATGCCCGGCCCGACGGCTGACACAGAGTGTTCAGCTAATCAGTGTAAGCTTCCTTTCTTCCTTTTTTTTTGACCATCAGCATTATTCATCCTTGTACTATACTCACTAATGAAATAACAAAATGTACCGCGCATTGTGTTAGATGCTGAAGATATAAAGATAAATAAGATACACGCTCAGTCCTTGTGTATTGCCTAGTAGTACTTCAGAAATAGCTGTAGAATATGGCTAAGCCACTCAGAGCCTGCTGGGAGAGACAGGCACGTGGCACACAGTCATTGGAATGCTTACTGTACACAAATGATTTTGATGTAACATGAAAAGCTATGCGCAGGGTGCTGTGGGATCACAGGGGAAGGAGCCTCTAACTCTTTTTAGGGAAAATGAGGAAGAATCACCAACGGACGGTGTTGATGGGTGAAAAGAAGCGTTCAAGCGGAGCAGAGAAAGAAGGGGGCGGTGGCAGAAACAGGCAGGGGCACAGAACGTGGAAGAGCACAGCGGGAAGAGGGTGTGAGGCGTTTGGGGAAATGGGGCTGTAGCCGGAGGGCCGACTGTACACAGCTTCTTTTCGCCAATTTCCCCACTCCAAGACACCCACGTATACTGAGAGAGTGGACTCGTTAATGAGCATTCCTTAGAATCATGAATAAAAACGGATGCAGTGTAACAGTTCTTGTCCAGCCATTCCAAGTCACGGAGTCCCCGGGACACCAGAAGAGCCAGCTCAGGGAATCTCCCTCGATGGCAGGCCACCAGGCAGAATGTCCTGGTGTGCGATTCCATGTGACCCTTCTTTGGGTCCTAGCCCTTGAAAACATGTCTGAAGTGCAGGTCCCCTTGTGGGCAAGTCCATTAATGCTGACCTGCTCCAGGCAGGTGCTCCAAACCTGCTTCCTACTTATGGGGATGTCTGGGTGGGGCAAGGAGTGGGAGAAAAGGGAACCGACGCAGCTTACGTGCCTACTAGGGGCTATATACATTTTTAATGTAATAATATAATTCTTACAGGCCCCTTACAAAAAAAAAATGTATTCTTATTTTGATTTGAATTGATGAAAAAAGAGAGAACAGTGAGATGGGGGCAGGAAGGCCAGAGGTATTGGGCAGACAGAGATGGAACCAGCTGAGCAGTCAGTTAGTAATTGCCAACACATGGGGGCCGGTGTCCCAGGAAAAGAGCAGAAAAGGGAGGAAGAACCCACTGACACTCTCAGTGGGTCCCAGATGAACCAGCAAGGCTGTTTCCAGAAGCCACTTTGAGTCTAAGAAGGGTCTGACTGAAAAGGTTACGGAGCATCAACCTGATGTAGTGTGTTAAGTTTGCAAACAGGATCTTACTCCATAACAGGAAGTAAATTCTGCCTGCTCATGCAATCACGTGTCCTCTGTTTTATCTGTCCAACAAGTGGCTGACACAATGAGAAAGAGCTGACTTCAGTCTTTCTTAGAACTTGTGGAAAGGGAGAAGCAACAGAAAGAAAAAAAAAAACCCTGCTACTAATCACCAAGTAATCTAAATGCCATCTCAATGAGAATTTTATTCAGGCCCTAGCAAAGGTGTGTTTTTCATGATTTTTAGAAACTGCAAGTCTTGAACTCTAATGAGCTAAGGGAAAACAGTGATGTGGCCAACTTTGAATGAGAACAGTAAAAGTTATAAGAAATTTCTTCTATTTTAAAGGGGTAGGGTTAATATTTACAAATTCAGCAACGGACGACCAAAAATAAATACACGACTTATTTAAAGATATCTTAAATTCCTCCTCTTCCTTTTACCCTGGTCTTATGCCGCAAGAGCAGTTCAGACTTACGGACCTAAGTGCACACTGATCCTGTGCTAAGCACTATTCTATGGATAACCTCACTTAACACTCTTAACTCCGTGACGTAGGTATGACCATCATATTTTATAGAGAAAGGAAGGAGAAGCTTAAAGAAGCCAGAAGTCTGATGGTTTTGACAGACTGACTCCTCTGAAAGGTCAAAAACATTTAAATCCAGGAGGTGTCTGAATTTCCTTTTTCTAAGTGGCAATGTCCAGGGAGGAGCTATACGTAGTGTGTAGACACACAGCACATGACCAAAGAGACTGCCATATGATTCATCAGGAAGTCAAAATACTCGCTTGGCCGATGACTTCTCAGCAATCATCTGCTGTTACCTCCCACTCCTGCAGGCTCCCCAACATTGAACCAATGTTGAAATGAGACTGTAAACATGCCGAACGGGGTCACTTTTGTAGCTTCCTTTTCCACTTTCATCACGTCTATGAACAGCCTGGGGTGGAATCATGCAAATATCTAGACACAGGGGTCAGGCCAGGGTTGGAGACGAAATCCTGCAGAAATGAACGTTTACCCAAGTCCACTGGCCTTCTTCAGGAAAGCCGGGGCTGGGATAAAATCCAAGGAGAATCTGCCCTGTGGAGCTATAGCCCCTGGGAGAAAGGCCAGCTGCTGGAGCTAATCTCCTCTCTCTCTGCACTGTTTGAGCAATGGAGACCTCGGCTCTGCCTTGGGCCATAGACGACTGACGGAAGCTGCCACCTTGACACCAGTACCACAGAAGTGCAGAGTTTAAGTGACTGTTACATAGAGAATATCAGTCCCTTGGGTGGCGTGAGAACAGATCCCTTTGAGACCCCAAATGGTAGTTACCCATGCTCAGTCATCGGCGTGATGGTTGCAGCAACCAGACCTTGAAGTTTCTTCTTCCGGGAGGCCATTGAGCTCTTGAAAAAAGTCTGGAAAACATACAACATAATTCCCCTTTTCTTCAAGGAATGTTAATTAATGATAAAACTCCTGGGCAAAGTCCGTTCACCATTTTGAACTGTGAAAAATGCTTATGCGTATGCAAACACAGAGCAAGTGAGAACGTAGAATTTCAGAGCTTAATTCTAAAGGAGGGGAGGCTGGTTTTCAAAGTCAGGAGAACAGTGGTCTGGCAACATACCACCAAAAAGGCAATGTCAACACTCAAAGAGCAGGGGTAAGAAAACGACAGACCCAAGGAAGAACATGAACCTAACTCGGAGTTCAAATATAGAATTGCTATTACTCAGACGGAAATATGGTCAGGAGAAAAGGGACCTTCTTATCTCTCCCTCTGTCTTCAGCCTGTTAAGCAAGAAAGTTACTTAACATCAGCACTTACAGTTTTAAGGAGTCAGTGTAATCTACGCAGCTATCTTCAGATTTCACTAAGTACCCTGTCAGGTTCTAATTTTGACCAGTTTTGTCCCGTTTTCCTAGTTCTAATATACCGCATAAAGAAATCACAGTTACTGACTCTTTCTCCTGCACTAGACCACGCTCCCCAGGACAGGGAATACATCAATTTGCCTTTGTTTTTCCTTCACTGATTGCTCTGCAGACAGCTTGTGTCCAATTAAAATGGATGGAGTTTTGGTTGGTTGAACGACGTGTTCAGATTGTAGCTGGATGGTGACTTCCACAGAAGGGGAGGGAGTCAACCTGACAGAACTCATTCGGGGAAGAAGGATCCCTCACCGTCTGTGAGCCAGTTTCTTGTCCACGACCAGTGTAAGAAAGCCAGGCAGTTGTTCCCCAGAGGGAATGAGAGCAACACGGCCTCCTGGTTAACAGCCTGGCTTCCGCAGGCGGACTGCCTGGTTCAACTCCCAGCTCTGCCACTTACTAGTTACAGGAAATGTTACTATTGTTTGAGCCATAAGACCCAAAAATCCGAAGCCACAAATGTGAAGTCTAACAACTGAAGAAGAACATAAAATATAGTCACAGAGCATTTGGGGACAATTATACGAAAGATGGTTGGCTTGGAGCAAATATAGTGATGTCTATAGGTAATCAACAAGAGGGGGTATATTATAGTTTTGAGGACACTGGCACATTTAAAAACTCATTGTGACTGTTAGTTAACCCCTCTCTATTTCAATGTTCCCTTCTGTAAATGTGGTTAATAGGACTCATACTACCTAGGGTTGTTGAGAGAATTAAATTAATTCCAGAAAAGTGATAAACAATAGCGCCAGAAACACAGTAAATACAAACCCAGCCCCCTCCACGAAATCTTGTCTGATGGCTATGGGACATTGGCAAGAACGGCCATTGTTCCCTTACCAGCAGCCTCTTCCCTGTCCTCCTCACCACCAGCTCCTCTTGCCTGTTCAGGGACTAAGCCACTTCAAGTCCGTTATCTGCTTTCCTGCATTCCTTCCATCTCCCTCGGCTGCCCCTCTCATAACTTACCCTTTGTCCCCTCTTATCTACACCAGTGGGCACAACCCAGGTCCAGGGGGCCCAAGGGGCTCAAGGAGGTTCAAGCGATAGGAGCCCCAAGAGCAGGGTTCAGCGGGAAGTCTCCGCAGTCAAACTGTCTGAGGCTGTTCACGCCAGACTTCCATATTCTTGGGCTTCTAGCCGCATTTATTTCATGCTCACGTCAGTTACACTGATATTCTTACGATGGTCAGAAGCTCAGACTGGCATTTATACATATATAAAAGAAATCATGTTAAGTGACTTTGTATAATTTGATTAGTTAAAACTTCCAAAGCATAGTGGGGGGGGGGGCGGTGATGGGCGCTGGGAATCACTGTCCTAACTCCCACTTTCTTACCTTCTTTCCATTCACACAGTCTGCCAGGTGAATCTTCCAGGAGTGCAGGCATTTCTGACCTTTCCTTTGCCAATGACCTCTCACCCGGGCTTCCATGAACTCAATACCGGACGCCCTGGTCTGGGTCTCCGTGGCTACCTACCCTGTCCCGTCTGGCCTGCTTGCCTTCCGCTTGTGGCTCTCCAACCTAGGATGCCCCTGTCTCCTGCTTCATCCCTTCAGTCTAGCTAACTTTTAAAACGCTAGGAATGTTCCCTGATCCCCTAGGATGAAAATAATTTCAAACCCCTTAGAATTTCCCCAAACACTGGCTTTTTATCAAAAACCATACATCAGAGCTGTAAGCCATCTGGGAACAGGAAAAGCTTTAAAAGATGTATCTTTGCACAGATCAACGCTCTAAATAAATGAGCAACGTTTGCTGGCTTTGTGAACTGTGAAACTCTCACGAAGAGACCAGGTAAAAGATCACAGCAGCTGTAACTGGAGAAGCACGGATATTTTGTCAATTTGAGGTTTGAATAAACTTAGTAATGTTATGCTTTGAAATTCTTTTATAGCTTGTACCAAAAGCAAATGGTTAGAATGTTCTCCAGCCAAAGGTTTAATGTGACTTTAGAATATGATTACTCAAAACACTGGGGAAGGGGTATTACTCTTGAAATCTTATGCCTCTATCCATAAACAAGAACACTTAGCACAAAGGATTCAGGTTGCCTTAGTCCAATTCTCTGAAAAGGGCAAAGTTTAAAAAAAAAAAAAAAGAAATCTTTGGGGGAGAAAGAGGATGCAACTCTGAATAAAGAGAACGACTGACAGAGAAATACTTGGAAAGGAAGAAACAGAAATAGAGAAATGAAACAAAACAAACCAATCTCAGAAGTACAACCAACTTCTCATACAATGAAAAAATTGTATGGAGTTTCATCGCTAACCTCTCTTTTGCTCAATCGCTAATCCTGATCATTTTTACAAAAGGAACCTTACTGACCAGCTGCGTGACCTGGAAGGAATCCAGGGGTCCCTCTGCCCTCGTCCTGCCTGACACTTGCTCCAGGCCGGAGGGTGCAGCGTCCACTCTTCCTCTGGCTCCGTTTCCCAGCTTATCTGCCTCCCCCGCCCCGGGCCGCCACCTTCTCACCCCGTCTCGTACGCCCTTCAGCCCGCATTCCCTGGTGGCCTTTCCGTCCCTGGCCGTCCATCCACGCTCACCTGAGACGCCGGGGTCGCCTCCCTCGCCGTGCCAGTCGCCGCCGCTCCGCGTAGTGTCGCCGTTCCGCTCCGCCGCGCTCTTTTTCTTGGCGGGGGCCGTCCCGCCGCACCACGCGCCGCCACGCCCAGCCGCCCCGGGGGTGCAGTTCAGCGCCTCTGCCCGCCGGGCGCGCAGGGCGGCGCGGGCGCGCAGAGTCGCGCAGAGTCGCGCAGAGTCGCGCAGAATCGCGCGCCCCGAGATTGCAGTTCTTCCCTGGGTCTGAGTTGACCCAGCGGGGCTAAGGGATCACCCGCGCGAGGCTCCCTGAGAGCTGCGAGCCGCTGCGCTGACACCGCGGTGTCCGCAGCGACGGTCCGCGGGCTCCTGGCTGACCCTTGCAGGGCACCTTTACGTCTTGGTCTGACTTTCCTTAGACCCTGGCACTGCAACAACAGGTGTTTCATGGTCATTTCATCGCAGCTCCTCTGGCTGCCGCTACTGCCCCACCACCGCACACTCTCAGGTTAAAAAGAGAGATGAACCGATTTAAAAAGTGGATTAGGTACTAAATGCAGCGGCTTTTCTGGCTTATTCCTGAGAACAGTTGAAAGGGAAATGTATTTTTACCCAAAAACCTCCACTTGCAGGAATAGTAAGGGTTTATTTTCTGAAATCATGTCCTGCGCTAATAAATCAGAAACACCACCCAAACAAGTCCTCTGCTTTCTCCAGTGATGTGATGTAACTTTAGTCTTGCAAACAAAGCAATGGCTCATGTTTATTATTTCATTTAGAGAAAATAAATTCCTCAAAGAGCTTTCTAGTTTGCAAAGTGCTATTAAATCCATAATAATCGTTCTTTAATTGCACCAAGCACCAGTAATTAATTAATTCATGAAACAATCCTATGTGGTGGGCATATTTTAAATTCATATTTACAGATGAAACATTATCATCCCACTTTAGATCAGAAACAGAGGTTTAAATCACTTACGTGATTTGCTAAAGGCCATAGAGCTACTGAGTGGTTGTGTTGTGATTTCATTTGATTTCAAGTAGCCTGAGAGTAGTCTTTCCACCGCTACTCTGTTCTCTTTCAAAATAGGAAGGGAAGAAGGGAGCGGGAGAAAGGGAGGAAGTGTTCTAGTTACAGCTGTCTGTTTTGTAATGTTAACAAGAACATTATATCCTAATGGGACAATGTAATTTTTTTCACTCATACTTTTAATATATGCAAAATTAAGTATTTCTATACCCAAAAGGTATAGGTCATTAGGTTTAACATCATCAACCAATATTCTACTGATGTTCTAATTGTTTATATAACTCCTGTTTATATAAATATGGCAGTATGAGCAATTCCTTATACTAATGTGTCAGGCTACTAAGAAGCAGATGCTAAAGTGAGACTCGATGTGCAGGAGACTGACTGGGAGAGGGAGCCCTGGAAGGCAGGGAGAGCCTTTAGCTTGTCATGTGGGGCTGTTACCTGCGGTAGAGAGAGGGTGCCCATCTTCCTAGGGCGGCAGTTGCGAGACAGGATAGTAAGAAGCTAGGGAAATTCCTTGGCAAGTGGAACAGGGAAACCGAGACAGATAGCTGAACGCAGTGGCCAAGCAATTTACAGCCAGGTGCAGGCGGTCACCTCCCTGGAGACAGCAGCCAACCAGGCGGGCCATGCCAGGGCCAGCCTCAAAGACCGAAGGACACCCCCCCCCCGCCCCCCGCCCCGCCCTCCCCGTCAGTGGAGACCACGCCCCTGAAAGGACGCACGAGGAGAGCTGATGAATATTCTACCAAAACCCTCCCCTGGCAAAAGCCTCTCCAGCACGGGCTGCAGGCTGCAAGCAGCCGGGGTGGCCATGAATGCAGCCCAACACAGCATCGTAAATTTACTTAAAATAGTATGAGATTTTTTGTGCGAGTATGTGTCATAATGTATTTAATGCGCGGCCCAAGATAACTCTTCTTCTTCCAGTGTGGCCCCCGGGACACTGAAAGGTTGGGCGCCCCTGCAGCGAGGGCTCCCGCTGGAGAGCCCCCCACACCATTGCCTTTTCCTCCTTCCACCCCTCCTTCCTTTCTTCACGTGTCTCCCTCAGGCAACGGGCAGCCGGCAGCTTGTCCCGGCCTGATCCCCTGAACCTGTCCCCAAGGCCCCCTTCTCTCTGCCTTCAGTGAGCCAAGGCAGCCCAGCCTGGGCTCTCCTGTGGCTTCTTCTATGCTGCACTTTCCCTTATTTCACTGTCCTCAGCTTTAAAATACATAGATCCTCATAGTCACCCGTGTTGTGAAATCTCTCCGACATGAAGTCAAGAACCCACGCACTACAGCTGGCCCCGGGCAGACCCACTCAGAGCCAGGCCCCCTCCGGTGACAGTTCCGCACAGCACCATTGATGGGGGGGTTTGACTGGAATTCCTTGGAGGAAGAGGGCACATCACAGAATCCACTATGTGCCCTTGAGAAACCCACAGCCTCTATGGTGAATTGTGGGAAAGACATTTCTCTTTAAAAACGTGGGAAGTGCAGCGATAGGCCTCTGCAAAGGTAGTAAGAAACACGGATGGGGGGAGACTAATGTGGGCTGAGGGGGTGTGTGTGTGTGTCTGTGTGTGCATGTGTGTGTGGCAGGAGACTGTTTCAGAAAAGTCTCCCTGGAGGAGGTGACAGCCAAGTTCGGTCTTAGACCAGAATAGGACCTAGAAGAAGGGAGAGGCAGCAAAAGGCTCAGTCCTAGCCGCAGGCCTCCAGCGCGTTGCTGGGAAGTGGCAAGGGCTCTGTGACCTTTCTTATATTGTTGTCCAGTATTTTAAAACCCTCACCACTGAACTCTTCATGCTTTCGTTTCCTGACCTCTAACTCCACTGGGCAGTGCTCAAGGCCGGCGCCGCATCCTATTTCTTTGTTTGCCCACAGCGCAGAGGACAGCGTGGGTCCCCCTGCGGCCCAGAGGGTGGGGTTGGAAAAATGTACTCCCTTCAACTTTCTCTCTTTTAAAAATCATTATTTTGTCTTTATTATATTTTTTCCATTACCATGTAGTCCCCTTATACCCTCCTTCCTCCAGCAATCACCACACTACTGTCTCTTTTTTTGTGAAAAAAATAAATTATATATATATATATATATATTCTATATCATGTCTTCTTTTTTTTTTTCCTCCCACTGCAATTCAAGTATGAAACCCGGCAATGTAGAGAAAAGTTCTGCCCTTTAGTTTGTAAGTTTCTTGAGGACAGTACGGGTCTGCTCTCTTCCCTGGGCCACACACAGTGCCTGCTACGTGGTAGGCGCCCAAGAAAGTTTGAATGAGCACGAAATGCAGGTGCATGTCAGTAACCGAGAGCAGAACGCTCGCTCTGCGGCCGGAACAAAGACTGTAGCGCGGCTGGGAGGAGGGGGCCTCCTTGCTGACTGCTGTTGATGCTGTAGTAGGGACCCTTATGGCCGAGAGGAACGGGGTCAGCACAGGGAACGGAAGCCATGGAGCAAGGGGGACACAGGAGCTGGAGGGAGAGGGCTGTATGCAGTTAGTGCCTCTTGGAGAACACTCTGGAGACTGTTGCCTCATTCCTGACTTCGAGACCCTCTTTCTGAATTGTGCATCTGGACTCATGAACCAATGGGTTAAACACATTAATTGATCACCTTCTAATACATGGGGAATTCGGGCCTCGTGTCACTCCTAGGAAGGGAGAGTTATGAAGGTGCCATTGGTTGAAAACAGAAGAGAAAGTTAACATTAGTTGTGCTTGGCAGGGCCTCCGTGACAACATCGGGATAATTACAGCGGCACAAACTCCTTTTGAAGGCGGCTCACCGGGAACGCAGGCTCAGGGGAAGCGCACAAGAGAGCCTCTCCTACTGGTGCCAATGCACCAAGGGCCCCCCAGGGATCTCAGGGAGTCGGGAGCGCGTCCTCCAAAAGCACCCCAAACTCAGGGCGGCTCACGTTCTGAATGAGGTAAAAACTTACCACTAGGGGGCAGTCTCTCAGCACAAACTGCTTTCTCTGTCACTGAATCTTTTTCAAACTGAAAGTTTCTGGGAATTTATTTATTTAGTATAAAATAAAAATAAATTTTAAAAAATACTAGATAATCTTTTCCTGATCCCATTTCCTTATTCTCTTTTTCCCCAGAATTTGTGCAGTTGACATCTTCAATTTTAACATTCTTTTAAAATCTGTCTCTTAATATTAAAACAATGAAAAAAAAAGATGTTTAGAAACATAGAAATTAGACATAGAAAATTAAGTCGCCCTCTCCCCCAAATACTGGTTCTTTGTGTTTTGAAGATAAACATGGCTATAAAAAGGGTACACTCAGTGGTCTTAACTTTTTGATATATAGAGGACACTTAAAAATCTGGTCCAAGTTTAACTTAGTATTTTCTCCCCCATGTATATAAGTCTGCTTCCTTTTAGCATTTGAGGTAAAAATGGGGCAATTGGGAGAAATATATTTTATCTTTTCTATGAAGAACTTTTATGTTCTTTTTTTTTTTTTTTTTTTTTGAGTGAAGGGAAAACTCACTGGAAAGAATTTGATGAGGTAAGTGCAGTTTGAAATTTAATTCTTTTCCATCCAAGGCTGGTTAGATTCTTGGTAACAGCTGAATGTGAGTGTTCATAGTCTGGGCTTCTGGGGGCTGAGACCCCTCCTGTCAGCTGGCCGCGGTGGGGAGGGGGCATGAGCCCAGAGAGCCTTGGGGCGGGGGGGGGGGGCACCTGGGGAGAATTTGCTGGTCTTGTTTCTCCTTTTTCCTTCTGCCCAGACCATCAGGCCATTGCTGTCCTGGAATAGTTCACTTGGATTCCAGTTTTCAGCATCATTTCCACCATCCTATTGACCGAGTTTTCCTGGGCCTGCTGGAAAGTTCCCATAAATTGTTCCAGCACTTTCTCAGGTTAGGTGTTTCAGCTGAAGCCAGATTGTTAGCTCTGAAAGAAAAATGTGCAATCTATATTTGGTCATGCATTTAAAGGTGAACCATGTAGATTAAAAAATAAGAGGCCAAGTACATAGCGGTATTCAAGTCTTCCATTTGTATTAAAAGAAAAAAAAAAA